GCAGAGGGACATTATGTTTGGCAGAGTGGAAGGGAGGCGAAGGAGAGGAAGACCTTTGGTGAGATGGATCAATTCTGTGACTGGAGCAGTGGGAATAAGTGCGTTTGAGATGGCTAGGTTGGCACAGGATAGAACAGCATTTAGAGCTCTTGTACATAGGGTTTCTATGAGTCGCACACGACTCGATGGCACATAACAACAACAACAACATCTTTCTTTTTGTTTTTCTAACTCCAGGTCTTTGTACGTCATTGTACATCTCATGAGTTACTTTATATTTTCTTTCACATCTGACTTTAAATTATTACCTTTCCACAAGAGTATTCAAGATTCAAAATATATTGGGAACATTTTTCTTTTTCATCCAATTTACTTTCTGAGTGGGAGTTAGACTGAAATGGAAAGATTTTTCTCAGACTTACATGAGGTAAAGGTAATAGTAAATATTTGTCAGGGACCTGAAAAGATGGGATAGTGGTGGGCATAGTTCAGTGTTGATTAATTTTATAAAATACAATGTATGGTAGTGATTGTATGAAACCATATGCATGAAGAACAGTGTGAAACACATTGTATATGAATTTTGCATGCAAACCAATATAAAATAAAAAAAATTAAAAAGAAATTTAGCTGAATTCCAATCCAAAAGTATTATGAATCGGGTATTTGTTAATATGGTAATTTCTTTTTTTAGTGTGGCACCGTCTGAGAATCTACAGTCCCTTATGGAGAAGAATCGGACTCTGGAAGATGAAAATGGAAAATTAAGTCAATGTCTCAGTGAGGCTGCTGGTCAGACAGCCCACATGTTGGAAAGGATCATTTGGGTAAGACTCAAAGTCTTAAGTATTAGTGTGGACCTTGATTACCTTTAGTTTCTAAAATATTTAACCAGTTTCTCAATAGAGCTAAATTATGTGGGAGGAACTGGATTACCATATGCTTGGTAAGATACTCTGTGGTAAATATATGGACTTGGAATTAACAATTGAAACCTTGTAGTGTGCCTATCTATATCCATTGCCAATAATCTACATGAACCTTATTTTAAAATAGATCTGTTCTGAATTAGCAGAAGGGCAAGAATCAAGCTCCTCTGTCATCTTAATTCCTGCCCATTCTTTATCGTAATACTAAGCAACTGTCTTCTTGCTAAGATATTAGTCTTAGTGAAATTGGTTAATATCAAAGTAGTAGAATACTAAATAATTGATTATACCTTTTCTGACTGCTACTACTTCATAATTAGTAACCTCCTAATCAGTGTATGTCTTAAGTCTGTTAGTAAAGTTTAATGTTTAACTACTAGTATAAATGTAGCTCAATTTTTTATAACACAGCTATTATTGTTGTGCACCATAAAGTTGCAACTGATCCCTAGCCGACCTTCCGATGGGTTTTCAGAAGCAGAAGTTTTTGCACAGGAAATTGCCCATCCTTCTCCAGCAACACAGCTATTATTAGAATAAAAAATGAATTTTCACCAAAATTTGTTACACAGTCTTAATTTACATACTTCATTCTTTTGTGTGAAGAAAGTGTAAACTAGTTAAATAATTTCTTTTAAAGGGCAAACCCTTAAGATTGTTACTAGAAGAAAGGCAAAATTGATATCTGTATGATTTTTGCATGCATTTTCTCCCTTTCTTAAAACTTTATTAATTTGCATATAATCATTTATATACATCATGTTTTCTACATGTACTTTGTGCTATATATTATCTTTGCAATGCATTGTATTTTATATAATTAATTACCATTAGTCTATGCCTATTATCACTCCATCTTTTAATGTTCTCATTAAACTTTTCTCATTATTTAACCTCACATTAAGTCACTAACATCTCCTATCCCAGTAATTTTTCTCCTTTTCCTAAGCCCCTTTGCTCCTTTCCCTTTTGAAATTTATGTATATCTTGGTTATCTTCCTATTTTCACAAGGATGGCTTTATGCAATATTTGTCCTTATGTGACTGAGTTATTTCACGCAGCAAAATGCTCTCTAATCTCTTCCAAGTTATATAATATTTTACAAAATCATTGCACCATAGTTCTTCATAGTATGCCGTTGTGTGAGTATACCACAATTTCCCAATCTATTTGTTTGTTGATGGGCATTTGGGATGCTTCTGTTTTCCTGCTACTGTGAATAATATTGCTATACACATTGTTGTTGTTGAGTCAATAATGACTCATAGTGACCCTATGAACAAAAGAGCTGAAGACTTTATGGCTTTCGTCCTTTTTCTAAGTTCATAGAGTTTCCAGAGACATGTTATTTAGGAAGTGGATGCCATTCCTGCTTCCAATCCTATCTCAATCTGGGAGCTCCACTAAACACTGTCCACCATGGGTAACCATTATGCAATGAACATAGGTATACAAATATCCATTCGTGTCTGAATAATAATTTCTTTGGGAAATATTCCTAATAGTGGAATACCTGTGTAATATGGGATTTCTGTATTCCGCTTTTTTAAGAAACGCCAAAACACTTTCCATAACGTTGTAATAGTCTGTAATCCCACTAGCAGTGTCCAATCTCTCGGCCTCCTCTCTAACATTTATTGTTTACTTTTTTGTTGAAGTTTGTTACTGCTGCTCCAGTGAGATGGTATCTCATTGTTTTGATTTGCATAGCTGATTACTAAATATTTTGAACATTTTCTCATGTGTTTCTTTGACTTTACATGTCTTTTGCCCATTTTGTGATTATCAGTCTTTTTCTGTAGTATTTGGTTATATGTCCCTTATCTGCAAGATGTTTTTTCAAGTTCTATGGGCTTTCTTTTTGCTCTATTGGAGAAGGTTTTTGATGGATACAGGGATTTGTTTTTAAGAAGGTCGATCTAATATTTTCCAAGTTGTGCATTTTTTACCAAGTTCATCAACCTATATATACCATAGGCCAGGTATTCTAATTTTATTTCCATTTTGTCTCTTGTGATCTTTATGGTTTTGAGTTTTACCCCTAGGTCTCTGATCCACTTTGAGTTGGTTTTTGTGTATGGTGTTATATGTGGATCCTGTTTCAGTTTTCTGCAGGCACATGCCCAGTTTTGCCAGCACCATTTGTTAAGGAGGCTGTGGATTTCCCATTTAATAGGTTTTATTACTTTGTCAAATATCAGCTGGCAAGGTTGAAGGATTATTTCTGTATTTTCAATTCAAGTCCATTCATCTGTATGCTTGGTTGTCTAGTGGTAGGAAACTCTGCTGTAATCCCGAAGGCATATATATACAGTTGGAATCCATCAGCTGCTCTATGGGAGAAGGCTGGTAAGTCTTCTCTCAAACAATTAACTGCCCCTGAAAACCCATCAGAAAGTCAGCTGTGGTCAGTACCCACTTGACAGTACACAACCTATCTGTCAGTGTACCAATACCATACTGTCTTAATTACTACTGTGTAATAGGTTTTGAGATCAGGAACAGAGATGTCTTATCTTATTTTTTTTTAAAGAGCTTTGCTTATTCTGGGTCTGTTCTTTCAAACGGAACTGTAAATGGCTTTTTCTACGTCCTTGAAGAATAAGTTTGGTCTCTGTTTTGGGTCTTCATGGAACTTGTAGATTGCTTTTGGTAGGATTACCGTTTTCACTATGTTGACTCTTCCTACCCATGAATGAGGAATATCTTTCCATTTAATTAGGTCTCTGTTTATTATAGTAATGCTTTATAGCTTTTCTTATAAAGATCTTTTGTTTCTCTGTATTGTTATGTGTTGTCAATTCAACTCTGACTCATTGCGACTCTATGTACAATAGATCTGAACCCTGATCTATCTTGAGCCAATTTCATTGTGTCTGACACATCTACCCGCATTACCCCAGGCACTGAGGCAATCCTTCTCATCCAGGGTTTTTTGCGTTATCCCTCCACCTTTCCAGGGATGATGTCTCTCTCCCAGGACTGGTTGCAGTACGTCCAGAGTATGTCAGATAGAGCTTCAAAATCCTTGCCTCCAAGAAGCAGCCTGGTTTCACCGTCTCTAGGATTGACTTCTTCTCTTAATCCATGGTATGTTCAATACTCCTCTAGCACCATAACTCAAAGACATTGATCCTTCTTCTATCATCCTTAGTCATTGTGTAGCTTTCTGATGCATAGCAAGTAATTGTGAAGACTGTGGCCTGGATCACATGCACCTTAGTCTCCAGATCGACATCATCGCTCCTTAGTACTTTGGAGAGGTGTCTGATAGCAGACTTTCCCAGTGCAGTCCATCTTTTGATTTCCTGGATGCTGGTACCAAGAGTATTGATTGTGGAGCCAAGGCAGCTGGTACCAAGAGTATTGATTGTGGAGCCAAGCAAGCTGAAGCTGTTAACAATCTCAATCTCTTCACCATCTATCGTGATGCCGCCAATCAACCCAGTGGTGAGAATTTTGTTTTCTTCATATTGAGCTTTAATCCATAGTGAAAGCTGCAGTCCTTGACCTTCTACTGCAAATGCCTCAGATCTTCCTCAGTTTCAGTATAATGCAAGTTGTTGATGGATTTTTTGTCCAGTTCTGATGCTATATTCCTCCTCCTAGAGCCCAGCCTCCCAGATGATATGTTCTGCATATAGATTGAAAATGTATGGAGATAGGATGCATCCCTGACATACATGTTTCCTGATTTTGAACCATGCAGTGTTTCCTTGCTCTGTTCTGATGACTGCCTCCTAGCCAAGTATAGCTTTCGCATAAGCACAACAAGGTGTTCTAGGATTCCTATTCTTCTCAGAGTTAGCCACAGTTTATTGTTATCCACACAGTCAAATGCCTTTGTATACTCAATGAAACACTGATAGACATACCTATGGTACTCCCTGCTTTCAGTCAAGAACTTCCTTCTTCATCATCATTGCTTCTTGATCATATGCTGTTTCTTGAAATTCTGTGTCAGCCAATTCTTTTTCATATAGTGAATCTGTGTACTTCTTCCATTTTCTTTTAATGCTTCCGGGTAATTCAACATTTTGCCCACAGCATCCTTAAGTATTGCAACTCGAAGCTTGAATTTGTTCTTCAGTGCCTTCAACATAAAAAATGCTGAGCAAGTTCATCTCTTTTGATTTTCCAATTTCAGCTCTTTGCACATTTCATTATAGTACTTTGCTTTGTCTTCCTGCGCTGCCCTTTGGTACTTGTGGGTTGGACTTTAGCTTCAGTTTGAACTTTCATACGAGTAGTTGCTGATCTGATCCACAGTAGCACCTGGCCCTTTCTTCACAGCTAGTACTGAGCTTGTCCAACAATTTTTTTTGAGATTTTCCCCATAGATGTAATCTGTCTGATTCCTGTGTAGGCCATCAGATGAGGTCCATGTGTATAGTCATCATATGTGTTTCTTATAAAAGGTATTTGCAGGCTTCTTACTCCCTGAACTCAAATCCTACTATATAGCTGTGGTGGTCAGTGACAAACACGTGGATCCATGGAATAGAACTGAGAACCCAGAAATCAGCTCATTTACCTATGTTGCTTGGATACACAGTCAACACTCTTGACACCAGCAGCCAGGAAATTAAAAGACATATTGCGATGGGAATGTCTTTGGTTAGAGACTAAAGTGCAAAGATTTTAGTCTGGAGACTAAGGTGTGCCTGATACATACCATGGTCTTTGCAATCATTTGCTATGCATCAGAGAGCTGGACAATGACTAGGGATGCTAGAAGGAGAATTGATGCCTTTGAGCTGTGGTGTTGGAGAAGAGTATTGGATATACCATGGACTGCTAGGATGATAAACAGGTTTGTCCTGGAGAGGGTGAAGCCGGGCTGCTCCTTGGAGGCAAGAATTCTGAAGTTTCTTCTGACATACTTTGGACATGTTGC